ATTTTAAATTTAATTTAATTATTGATCCTTTGGAAGGAGAGGGGATACTACCTTAAAGATTTTTTAAAAATATCATGTCATCATAAATTAAGCAAAAATTATCAAGCAAAAAATTTTCCCTCTCCTCCAATTTAAAATAAAAAAAGAAAAACCAATATTATAACAAGTATACATGGTCAAGCAAAACAAATTCTCTTATTGTTCATGTCCAAAATCACCTCTATCAGAAGGTTGGGTTTCGGAATGCTTGCCTCGTATTAGTGTGTTATTTGACCCAAAAGTCATTGGTGCTTTTCAAAGATACTGCAGCTATTCCCATCCTGTTGAAGTATAGGGAGGTGTCCCTTTCCACATACCTAGTTTTCAAGAACTTTGCAATTACTTGTAATTGGAACCTCTTATTTTGACCCCATAATAAATTGTTTCTTAAATTCCTCTCTCATCCTCTTTTCTCAGTTTCTGTTTTGTCCAACTTAGACCTAGGCACATAGAATCATAAGATTTTGATAATGGAACCTTAAAAATGATTTAGACACCATTGTGGACATCTTAATACAGTGGAAAGATCACCTGACTTAGTAGACCAGCATTTCTATGACAGCACCAACACAAACTGCATGACTTTGGTTAAGTCATTTAAACCTCAGTCCCAGTTAAATAGAGACAATATAAAACACCACTTTATAGGATATTATTATTGTTACTGCTATTGATGAGGAAGCTGACCTCAGAAATTAGGTGATCTATTTCAAATCCCATAAGTAGTATTATGGCCAAGACTGGAATTCTAGTTTCTTGATCATCAGCAGCAAGCACCACCATGTTAATGCTGTTTCCTGTCATATCACATTTCCCTGTGTGTTCAGCATCTTCCTCACTTGTTTGGTATGAATCTACTTTGCCGAAACCTTTATATTTTAGCATCTGGCTTAAAAGAATTCTCCATTTTCAAAACAATTTTACTTGTCTTATTCTAATTTCCTTGATTAATAGCACTGTTTACAAAATCTAATTTTTTCACTAATTGTTTCTTTTATACAGCTTGCATGATTTTCACTTTGTATAAAACAAAATATTAATATGCTTTAATACCTACCTCTGTTAATTTCCATTTTTATATCTGTCTGTTTTGTAGGTCTTTGTCTTCCTTTGTTTTCTAGTTTTTGTAATTGTTCTGTAGTATGTCCAAGAATAGCATCCAATTCAGTGAAAAATTTCATACTTTTAGCTGTGCCCAAGTCTTGAGAATTTTTTACAATTTTGTATTCGTGTTTTAGGTTTTTATATTTTGTTCTACACTGCTTCCAGTCTCTGTCTATGCCAAATTTCTGAAGTTTGGCAGCAATTTGTTCAAATATTCTTTTATTTCTCATGGTTCCCTCTAGTTGTTTTTGAATGTTTTTGTCTGACCAAATGCCTATTAGAGCCCTGACTTCATTTATAGTCCAGTGTTTTCCTCCTTCATTTGCTACACTTGGAATAAATGTTGGATTATTAGAAGAATTCAGTATTGATGATGGTTTACCTGTATCAGGTGGGATAAAAAGAAAGGAGGAAGAAGGAAGAAAGTCAGTAAGGGAAAAACTTTTGTTTGGAAGTAGAATAACTTATTTTCCTCAAAAAATAAGGAGAAAGTAAAACATTAACTGGCAAAGTTGTTCATTATGATTGTCTGAATTTATTAACAAAGTTGAGGATGATGTCCCAACATTTTGTCCCAAGTTTTCTTCAATACCATCTCAGTCTCCTGCCTTTATAATTGACACTCATTGTCTTTCCGGAACAAATGAATACACTTCTTTGCTACGTGTGTTATTTGTAGGAAAATGTTTACATTATTGCTTAAGGAAGTGTCTCACTAAACCTAATTCTTAAAACCCATTCCTTCTAACCTTCTCCTTTCAGGTTTTTATACCTTTGGAAAGCCATGGAAGTTCCATAATGATCTGATACCTTACTCTCATGGTGGAGAAATTCAGGCCCTTCATTCCCAGAAGGCTGTAAAAATGGATTTGGATCCTTTTCCCCCTTTCCTTTCCTACCTCTACCCCTTAAAACAATTAGTGCTTTGCTTGTACAAAAAATGGCTTTATCACACTCCTGCTTCTGGGAGCCAAGATGGTGGACTAAGAGGTGAGTCTCTCTTACACTCCTCTATTAACCCCTGAAAACCCAGAAAATATCACCCCAGGAAAAACTCTGGAACAGCTGAACCAGAAGAAAGATGGGGTGCAGCAGTCCAACAGCCCAAGTAGCTTGAGGAATTAACTGGAAAGGCCCCTCCTACCTTGGGGGAAGGGGAGTAGTACAGCAAGCTAGTGGAAAGCCCCACCTCAGCATACCAGGAAGAGATCCTGAAGCCCAGGTGGTGCAGCAAGCAAACACCAACACCTGCACCCCCGAGTGCCTCATTGAGGGCGGGGGAATTGGTGGAAACCGGCTCAGAAAACCACCAGGTGCCTTGGCATTCTACAGCAACTGGCTCTTCCAGGGCCTCAGCAGAACTAAGGGTAGCAGCAGCAGGTGGATAAAGACCCTACAACATCCATCTGAAAGGAACTGAAGAAAGCAAAAGGAAGGAAAAGCCTGGGTGACCAGGAAATCTCCAGGAGCCACACTACCCAGTCCTACTCCTAGAGTTCCAGTGTTGCTGATTCCAGCCCAACACCAGGTAAGCTGCCAGAATCCTGCAGCCTCCAACTGCCAACATTGGAGGCGCCAGCACACAAAGCCATTGACCAGGCCTTAGGCTTCCAACACAAGAAGCTTGGGTCAATGCCCTCTGCTCCCCAGCAGGAGAGTCCAATCTCTTTAAAGGCCAGGAAATAAGCAGACACCATGAGCAAAAAGAAATGTACTATGGATTCTTATTATGGAAAGAGTGAATATCAAGGCAGAAATTCTGAAGAGGACAACATTGTCAACAAACCCACATCTGGAATCTCAAAAGGGAATATGAACTGGTCTGAAGCCCAGAAAGCCTTCTTAGAAGAGCTCAAGAAGGATTTTAAAAGTTAAACGAGAGAGGTAGAAGAAAAAATGGGAAAAGAAATGAGAGGTATGCAAGAGAGAGTCAATAGCTTGGAAAAGGAAGGACAAAAATTAACTGTAGAAAAGAAGTCCCTAAAAAATACGATTGGCCAAATGGGGAAGGAGGTACAAAATCTAATAGAAGAAAACAATGTGTTAAAAATTAGAATTGAGCAAATGGAAGCTAATGACTCTATGAGAGAGCAAGAATCAGTCAAACAAAAACAAAAGAATGAAAAAATAGATGACAGTGTAAAATACGTCATTGGTAAAACAACTGACCTGGAAAATAGATCCAGGAGAGACAATTTAAAAATTACCTGAAAATCACGATGAAAAAAAGAGCCTGGATAGTATCTTTCAGGAAATCATAAAGGAAAACTGCCTTGAGGTCCTAGAACCAGAAGGTAAAATAGCCAGAGGAAGAATCCACTGTTCATCTCCTGAAAGAGATCTCAAATTGAAAACACCAAGGAATATAGTAGCCAAATTCCAAAATTGCCAGGTCAAAGAGAAAATACTGTAAGTAGCCAGAAAGAAAGGATTTAAATATCATGGAACCACAGTTAGGAGTACACAGGACCTTGCAGCATTTACGTTAAAAGACCTTAGGGTGGAATATGATATTCCATAAGGCAAAGGAGCTTGAATTACAACCAAGGATCAACTACTTAGCAAAAATGAGCATGATCTTTCAGGGGAGGAGATGGATAGTCAGCGGAAGAGGGGACTTCCATAACTTCCTGATAAAAAGACCAGAGCTCAACAGAAAATTTGATCTTCAAATACAAGACTCAAGAGATATAAAAAGGTAAATGGGACAGAAAGATACAATATGTTGTTAATAAGGGCAAATTGTTTACATGCCTACAAGGAAAGATGATACTTGTAACTCTTGAGAACTGTATTGTTACTACACCATGTTAAAGGGGTATACATAAAGGGGGTGAGTATAAATTGACTTTGATGTAGTGATGAAAAAAATCTAATCAAGTGGGTTAAATGGATCCAAGTAAGTGAATTAATTTGATCTAACTAAGAAAATGTACTGAGAGAAAAGGAAAGGAGGAGGCAGACAAGGGTGAATTACATCACAGGAAAAGGCACAAAAACCTATTACAGCAGAGGGAAAGAAAAGGAGGCAGATGAGCATTATTTGAACTTTACTCTCATCAGATTTGGCTCAAGAAGGGAATAACATAATCAGGCATAGAAATCTAACATGCCATATAGGCAGTAGGAGAGAAAAGGGGAAAGAAAAGGGAGGGGGCTAATAGAAGGGAGGTGGGACTGAAGGAGGCAGTGGTCAAAAGCAAAACATTAGGAGGGAAAAGGAGAAAGAAGAGCATAAAAGAGGGTGGGGGGGTGGGGAGGGAAGGATGGAGAGAAAGACAGACAGTAATCATAATTGTGAATGTGATATATGAATGTAATGGAACACTACTGTGCTATACGAAATGATGAACAGGCAGACTTCAGATAAACCTGGAAAGACTTGTATGGTTTGATGCTGAGTGAAGTGAGCAGAACCAGGAGAATGTTGTACACAGTAACAGCTACACTGAGTGATGACTGACTTTGATAGACTTAACCCCCTCTTAGCAATACAAGGATCTAAGACATCTCCAAAAGCCTCATGATGGAAAATGCTATCCACATCCAAAGAAAGAACTATGGAGTTTGAATGCAGATCAAAGCATACTATTTGCCATTTTTTTCCTCTGTTGTGTTTTGTTTCCTCTTTCTGGTGGTTCCTCCTATTAGTTCTAATTCTTACTTACAACATCACTAATGTGAAAATATGTTTAATAGGAATGTATATGTATGGGCCTATATTAGATTACATGCCATCTTGGGGAGGGCGGTAGGGAGGGAGGGGGAGAAAAATTTAAAACTCAAAAGCTTATGGAAGTTATTGTTGATAAATTAATAAAAAAATTTTTTAAATGGCTTTAAATGATTATTGAAAAAGTAATTGTTAAAGAATGACTTCAATTTCTGATGATTATTATTTAAGGTTAAAGAATCACTTGTTTTGGAATGCCCTTTTTATTTTTTCTGTTTAAGGAAGAGGAAGGGGGAGCATAGGGTAGAACCATAATCCTAGATATCTTTATTAAAGCCTTTATGCTAGGGAGAAAAGGGCATTCTTTCTACTTTTAGCCTTAGTATTGAAAAGAGAGGAATTATTCTCCCCACTTCTGGTTAGAAATTTCTTTCACCTTAATCCCATTTTCAGACTAAAACTCTCACTTTATTTCCTATTGTCTTTTTTTTTTTTGGAGGGGGGGTTTCCACCATACTATACCTAGTTCCATTGGTGTGACATGAGAAATAAAAAGTAAAGGATCCCTTGGAATATCCTCATCATCTTCTAATGCAACTGGTATTTCACCTGAAGGAAGAACAAAGTTTCCATTTGGCCACAGAGGAAATACGTTTGAATGTATTATACTTGTGAACAGATAGAGCTAAAAGTAGATGTTGGTGATTTGGGCTAGGTTTAATAGCGACTATATGGTATCAGAAATTTTAACAGGTATATTTTACAAATGTAACAGTATAGTATAGCAAATTTAACGAAATACGATCAGTTATTTAATATTTAAATAGAAATTTATTAGTTACTTTCTATCAACATTGCATTTGTGCAGTTGGCACTAGCCCTCCAGTGCAAAGGAAAACCCGCAGAACTGGCCAATCCTGCGTATTTGAGCTTTGCACAGATTAAGATAACTTTCTGCATCTATCTTGATTCATGAAGTATATAATTTTTGGAGAAATGTGCAAAGGCAAGTTTTACTTTAAATGCCCTAAGGCTTCATATTTTTAAAGGAACTCTGTGTCAGTGTCTTTGTGATAAGTGACCTAATTTTGATTGTTGTGTTATGGCTTTTTATAAAGTATGGCACAGATGTGAATTATTCAGTTATCAAGGAGGGTGATGCTATATCACCAAAGCAAATTGACAGAAAAAACTAAAGTACTAAACAATTCTAGGGGTTTCATTAAATTGGCGTTTGAAATTGAATCATAAATGCAGTGAGGTATTTGGTGTTCTGTTTTGGTTTTTAATATCCCTGTGATTTCATTGGTGGAGGGTGCTGGTGAGGAAGTCCTTCAGTTAATGCAGACGGGCACTGAGAGGTTATGTGACTAGCCAGTATGTCTCAGAAGCTAAAATAAAGGTTGGACGTTTATTTTCATTGATTTGTTTCACCCCATATTTGAATTATATCACTAGTGTAGATGTTATGCAATTAGCATTTTTTCATTGCAAGGTTCCTGGAAAAAGTTTCAATTACTGGATGATTGTTGATCTCATTGGCCATTTTTTTAAGGCAGCTAACATTGCCAGTTAAATATATTAACATAGAGATAAAAGTAACATCTGTGAGTACTTGGTGTGAATTGAAATGGTTTATAAGAGTAGACATCTACTGAAAAGCATCTCTATTTGGGAATAGCATTATAATATGGAGGAAGACTTTGGTTAACTACCTTATTGATTACTTACTGAAAAATGCAAAATATAGTCATTGTTTATTGCAGATAGAATTTCACCTAGGAAGTAGTGTTATTTATTTAACTTTTTTTTAAGAGTGCTACCAAGAATTCTGTACTGTCTTAAGCAACCTTTTAGAAATAAATACATGAGGTATAATTTGATACCTTTCTCCCTAGCATCTTTCCCTTATTACACACCTAATTCTTTGTTGGAAATAAAAAACCTTTCTTCATGGGTTTGTCTGAACTTCTTCCTTTGCTTTGCCTCATCTCATATTTGTACCCTGATCCTGTTGACTGGGGCCAGCTGATAGCATTCATCTGTTCTTGATAGCCATGGACATTCTATTGATATAAATAAGCATTTTGCACAAGTCTGAATTCTTGAGTTCTTGCTTCATTTTTCCAAACATGGAAGAAGAGAAAAACAAACTGCTTTGTAGCAATGTGATGACCCTGGGTATTAAGTCTATTCTTCTCTTTGAGTTGAAAAGGAAAAGATACCCTTGCTCACTTAGGATAGTAGTGGTCAAACTTTGCACTAGTTGGAGAAGCTAGGTCATTCTTAGTGACTGAGTCCCTAGCAGTTCTGAAATGATTTTAATTACAGTTTGCCCTAATTCCTTGCACAATATAAAAAGCATTATATATAAATCAAATTAAGATTTTGAATGGGTCTAAACCAATCTCAAAATGTCATTGACAAAAAAGATTTCTTTAAAAATGCAATTATTTAGAGGATATCATTAATGTGAATAAATTCACTCATCCTCATAGAAATTTAAGTTTTGAACATGGTTGAGTATTTTAGAACCTGCCCTTGAAATACTAGAAAATAGGAGCATCACCTAGAAAGGGAAAGGTAATGGACTCTGATTCCAAAACTCTCTCTTTGGTCAAGGAAGGCACTTGACCATTCTCCTTATAACTTGCCTGAAAGCTCCTATTCCTTGATCCTTTTTCCACAACAGTAAAATCAAATCACACACATAGAACAACTGTAACAAAACGTCCTCATCTTAGTCTGTTGCTTATTCCTCTTCCCATAAATGGTACTAAATGCCTTCTTTGGTAGTTAGTTATTCCCTTCTCCAAACAGGTACTTTGCTGTAAGGGTCTTGGCACCTCAAAAAATATGCCCAGCCCTTCAGAAATACCCTCTATTAAAAAAGGGAAAAGGAGCATAAACATTGTGGCCACATATTACTACTTCTCAGCAATAGGAAGCTGTGAGAGAGGCTAATCGGGTCACAATGGCCGAGATATTTTCTAAATGGCCCTTTGCAAAGAAGAATCTTTCTCCTAATAGAAGGACCATATCCTCTGCAGAGCATCCACCCTCCTTCCTCTCCTCCCTTTATTACATTTATTACTCTTTCTCTCCTTGCTCCTCAGAATCCTCAGGAAAGTTCTTAGGATCATTTCTAAGGATAATGGTAAAGGGAAACTAGGAAGGGGGGAAAATATCCCTTGCTGGTAAGGAGCTGCCCCAATGTGGTCTGCTGAAGTCAAATGACTGGGTGCTCAGAAATGGTTTAGAATGTCATTGTCCAAAAAGATTTCTTAAAAACGCAGTTGTTAAGAGGATGTCATTAATGTGAATCAAATTCATTCATTTTTGTAGAAATTTAAGCACTGAACATTGTTGAGAAATGAAAAACTTAAATTTAGTTTGAGGGGTGAGAAGAAGGGTGCATGGTCTTCCACTAAATATATTAGATTGATTTGTCTTTATCGGCAAAGACAATGTATGTGAATAAAGCAAATACTCTGTAAATGTCAGCTGCCACAGTTGTTAAATACTGGCTTGTGAATTCATGTATCACAGTTTAAATTTTTTTCCCTCTTTGCCTACTGTTATCCTCCATATAATATGATGTTAATGTACTTGTGCACAAATAGGGAGGGGGGGAATCTAATTTACCAGTACCCCAAGCAGTGCTGCTGTTGTTGTTTGTCCTTGGTTCAAAGAGGACCATGACATCAGAAGGTGATGCCGTTACTTGGAAGTAAATTGGATTGAAGTAAGGTTGCACAGCCTCACTTTCTCCTCCAGAGCCATCTGGGTCCACTAGCAAGATATAGATCAGAATGACTGGAGGTGGCCCCAGTGTAAAGAACAGTAAATGGTGAATAACATTGTGTAGTTTCATAATGGTTTTATTAATTAACATAACCTAATTTAGATAAAAATCTTAAAAGTAGAACTGTTTCAGTTAGAAGAGGCCCTAGAAACATCTAAAATCAGGTGTTCTAACCCCCTCTCATTTTACAACCCATTAAACTGGAACCCAAAATGAATTCATTGCTTTATATTTTTTTGAATATTGTGAAAAACCAAACTCCTAATTTTGAGTTGTGGAAAAATATAATTTAACAATTTGTTTTTGTAGCTTTTTGATAAGCTGAGAAAATGCTGTGACTGATTCAGGGTTCAATCTAGATTTTAAAGGATAGACATTTCTAACAAATGCTCAAGGAGTAGTTAGTCATTTTAATGAGGTTATGCTGTTTTTAGAGATTATAATGGTGCTTTTTATATGCAAAGCATAAATTAGATATTGGATTTTTAAATTTATTTTTATGTTTGCTTCTAAGCTATATATGTATAACATATACTTAAAGCTCTGCATTCTAATAGCTCGTTATTAGAAATAAAACACAGGAGGAATATTTTTACCTTTGGTGTTCTTTGGGGCTGTATTTATGTCCAGCTGGGTCTCAGTTGCCAGGTACCTGCTGTCTTCATCCTCTGTTAATTGTGAGACAGGTTCATGTTGTAATATTGCATCCAGCTCATGAAAGAACTTCATAGTTTTAGAGAGATCCCCAGAGTTGTGAGCATATTTAACTGTCCTGTATTCATACTTCAGATTTTTATACTTTGCCCGACACTGTTTCCAGTCTCTGAAAATGCCTTTTTCCTGAAGTCTTTTAGCAATGTAAATGAATATTCCTTTATTTCTTAGTGTTCTGTAAAGTTGCTTCCTTATATTTTTTTCCGACCAGACAGTTAGCAAAGCTTTAACCTCCTCTTCAGTCCAATGCTTTCCTGCTCCACTCTCCATGTTGAAAGTGACCTGGAAATGATTCACTATTTCTAGCCAAGATTTTGTTTCCTAGGAAACCAGACGACTGGTTGTCAATAAGCTCCACAGAGCTGAAAGGATCTCGTTTAACTGGTTCAAGCTGCCTGAAGGGTGTAACTTGAGAAACTGCCAAATAAGCAGGCTTTGTGATGAAGAAGCAAAGATCTAAATGATTATTAGGCTTCTGGGTATCTGCAAGAGGGGTAACTTACACTCTATTTAAAAAAAAAAGGACAATTAAGAATTAATTTTTTTTTAATTTTTAGCTCTTTCTTACATACTATACTGTTTTACCCAATAAGATTTACTAAAATCCTCACAGGTTAAGTAAAAGGCAACTTTACTGATTCTGGTGATACCAGTTTGGCCTAATGACTTTAACATGCCAATTTTTTGTAATTTATGTACCAAGGCGATAAATATCTACATCTGTGTAGTTGCTTTATAGTTTGCAAAATGTTTTGCTCACAACCCTGAGGTGTAGTGTAGATATTGTCACAATCTTGACAGAAAGAAACCAATAGTACTAGATATTAACATGACTTATCCACAACTCCACAGTATCTTCAGACTCTATCCAGTACTCTTTCCATTATACCATGATGGAAAGGACAATTGGTAATTTTAACATATTAATTATAACTAAGGAAGCAGTTGTTAAGATAGGTGGTGGGAAATATTCAATTAAAAATATTTAACAGAAGAAGTAGATTAATATATATACATTTGGAAGATAAATTTAGATCTGAATGCTAATCAACCAACTTTTCAATAAATTGAGCCTTCTGTCAGACTGAATTAATATGGTCAAAAGAGTCAAGTTGGTTTTATGTGGTGGATGCATAAGCTTATTCTGTTGCCATTTAAATATTCTTTAGGATCCTACTATGTACGAGGTATTATGTAAGCCCTTGTGCTAGGGAATAGAGAGATGAAAAACCAGACTCTCAGGCTCTCAAGGAAATTACAGAAGGGCTGTGACTTGTATGTAGGCAAGTCAAAGGAGAATTCTAGAGAAAGTGCTCCAGGAAAACACTCGTCCTTAGCTCAATGACAAAGAGATTTTAAAAGACACATGGTATATATTACAGACTTGGGGTCAGTCCTACAAATATAAACAGGGGAGAGACTGCAGGTTGAGACTGGAGAACAGTTAGTTAATCTAGTTGGACTGTCAGGTGGAATGCAGGAAGGTGAAGGGTATGAAATAAGCCTGGAAACATATGTTAGAGCCTTGTTTTAGAGAACTGAACAAAGCCTAAAGATTCTCTAGTTTATTCTTTAGGCAGTAGAAAGTCACTGAACGTTTTTGAGCAGGGCAGTAAAGTGGTATAATGTAATATATACATGCATACATACACACACACATACACATGTATACTTTAATACAGTGTGATTCTGTAAGAGTGTGTGTGTGTGTGTGTGTGTGTGTGTGTGTGTGTGTGTGTGTGTATGTGTGTGTATTCAACAAAGTTTATCAGGTAGGCAGTTTGAACAATGATACCTTTTTGTGTTCACAGGGGTCAGGAGAGTGCTGGAATTGTGACAAGTGATGGATGTGGTTTAATGCCAACAATTCGAACCCATAAGGTAATGTCATATGCTTTCATTTTCATATTTCCTCGTTGTCATTAAAACCAAGTTAATCATGATTTTATTAAAAACACAATTAGCAGGGACAGCTAGGTGGTGCAGTTGATAGAGCACTGGCTCTGGAGTCAGGAGGACCTGAGTTCAAATTCAGTCTCAGACCAGACACTTGACACTTATTACCTGTGTGACCTTAGGCAAGTCACTTAACCCCATTGCCTTGCCAAAAAAAAAAGAGAGAGAATAAACTGGAAGGAAATATAATTTTAAAAAAACCTACCACAACTAGCAGTTTATGGAAAAATAAATAAGCATGCAATAAGAAGTAATTGTGTTTTAAAGTTGCTGTATATCTTTTTCTGTTTTCATGTGCTGCTATTCATAAAAGCAGTAAGTGTTCAGTTATTTTGGGAAATTGTGGCATTCTTTGAATTTAAATTTCTGCTTTGTAGTATCTCCCTCAAAGTGAGGAGGTAGACCTTTAAGAAAGTAATATTAGGGTTAAGAATTTTCCTTTTTTGGTTACTCAGGCCCAAAGTAAATTAGGGCCTAAATGTTTATTATATTTCTTCCAAAAAGAGTCTTGTTTCTCTTAGCATTTTGGGAGGGGAGGGAAAGAAATCATACCCATACCAAGCATAAGAGTTTTAATCTTTTTATTTCTCATTGTCTTATCAGGAAATATAGATTATTCAAGTGTGATAAGTATTGTCTGTCCTGATACTCTTTATGGGGAAATTTGCTTTTACTGATAACAAGTTTTGATTCTTTTTATATAAGGAATCATTGGACAAGTGCTTGGTTGGTTGATTAACACTCAGAAGGAGGTAGAAGATCAGTTAGTAGTATCATCTGGCCCTGGAAAGTTTAATGACTGGTCCAGGGTCCGCAGGCAGTAAATAGTAGAGCTAGAATTCTAACCCTGCCTCAATATCCATTGTTGTTTAGCTGTTTCCTAAAGAACCTGCTTTTGCCTCATGTGTACAAGAGCTTGTAGCTGGTGGTGGACTGGGAAGATCAGCATAATTTTAATTTATAACATATCCATGGGATAATTGTGGTTTACTATGAGAAGAATATGTGGCTTTTACTTAAACCAAGAGATTATTCTTCCAATTCTCTGAACCTTTCAGTGATTTTCAAAATAAGTAAAAAGTTTGTTTTGCTCTTTTTCAGTCAAAATTTTCAAGTTTATTTGCATCTAGTTTTTGACAGTATTCAGTAATCTTTTTTTTGTTGTATTGTTGTTTTAAAAAATAACTTTGTCAGCATATCTAGTAAATAGAAATAAAGAATAAGTGATTTGCCAAGTTAGCATTGAGATTTAGCAGTATTGAGCACTTTTCGTATTGTTTAACATAGGGCAAGAACTGTTTTTGTTTTTATCATTTTGTCCCTAGCACAGTCTCTTGGTACGTAAACATAAATTAATGACACTTAAATACTTCTTGGCTTGAATTAAATAACTGACTTTCTTAGTCTGTTTTCCTTTAAATTAATAAATTTACATTTATTTTACAAGGGAATGGGTCTTGTAAACCATGTATTTACTGAAGATAATTTGAAGAAGCTGTATGTTTCAAACCTTGGAATTGGTCACACAAGGTATGCCACCACAGGGAACTGTGAACTAGAGAATTGTCAACCCTTTGTTGTTGAAACACTCCATGGGAAGATCGCTGTGGCACATAATGGAGAATTAATAAACTCTGTCCATCTGAGGAGAAAGGTGAGTGTTCTAAGTACTTTTTTTGAGGGCTCAGTGGTGAATTTTTATGATTAAGTTGGGAAAGTATGTTGTCGTAATATTAGATAGCCATCTCTCTGCTTAGAGAACTTTAAAGATAATTTGATAAGGAATGTTTTTTTAAATGGGTCATATAAGTAGAGAGGGATTTTCTAGGATATGAAGGACTCGTCAGCAACCCCCTTTTCTCTCTCCCTCCATTATTTCCATTCTCAGATCATAAGTAATAGAAAATACAATATAAAGTCAAGAAATTGAAAATAATCTTAGGCTGTTAAAACATGACGCCTGGGAACAGGGGTAAACAGAAAGATTAATTCGTTTTGGTACTTTGTCCTTATTACCATACTTGGAGATTTCCTCAAGACTTAGTCTCTCAGCTCTTTTCCTTCATCTCTTCAGTGCTGATTCATTGTTACAACTTCATTAACTCCCACTATGCATAAGGTACCTAGAATTGTATCATTAGTTCATACTTTTCGCCCGAATATCAGGATGAGACATTCATTGTTGGCTAGGGAATTGTATGTTAGATCCCTTAGTGCCAACTGAGATCTCACATTCAACATTTTCAAAGTCAAACTAACCCAACAAAAACAAATCTAGCTTCCTATTTCTGCTAATTGCTATACCCTTTATCACTCTTTCCCTTAATCACCCAGGTTCAAAATCTTGATTTACCTCTGACACCTTTTCCTTTATCTTTCAGAGCTATTCACTAAATATTTTCATATGACCAGATTTATCTGCCAGTAATTCTTGGCAGATAATTTCATGCTAATTCCTTTTACTTTAGCCAGAACAGGATCATACATAGCCAGACCCTTGAACAAGCTGTGGTTATTTCTGCTTCTCCTTTTATTCATGCTCTTCATACGATCTAGAATAATTTCTTCCATTCTGCCTATTTTAATCCTGCCCATTGCATGTCACATATCTTTTAAGAATGTTTTTTGGTCATTGAACAGTCAACAAACACAAGCACTTCACTATACAAAGAGTAAGAGAGTGTTGTATTAGAAATTGTGACTTTCTATTACATATATCTGTTTGCTTTGGTACAGTGGAAAGAGAACTAAGAAGACAGAGTGGGATCAGTGAGAAGTCAGGTCTTCACCATGGGCGGGTCACTCCTACCTAGGCCTTAGTTTCCTCCACTGTAAAATAAGTAGGTTGGGCTAGATTGCTTTTAAAATCCCTTCTAGGTCCCTATCTGTAATTCTACATATTCAACAAAATAGTGATACAATTGTCCTCTTAGTTTGTGCCCTCTCTTGCACATTTATTCCCTTCTGCTAAAAGTTTTGTCAATGCTCCCATTTTTTTCTTCAATTTTCTCACTACCCACTAGTGTCAACACTCTAACAGAAGCCCTCCCCTGTAAAGTCAGTGTATCAACTGCGTCTGAGCATGTGTCCCTATATCATTTGTACCTCCAGTTCCTTGTCTCTCTCCTTAGAGGTGAGAAGGCCTGCTTTATCACTGTTCTGTCAAAGTCATTGTTGTTCACAGATTGGATCAGAATTCTGGTGTCTTTCAGATTTGTTTTCCCTCATGTTATTATCAAATCGTGTTCTGGTTTTGTTCACTTTATATGCATCGGTTTGTACTGGTTTTCCCATGTTAGTCTCTCATTTGTCTTCTCCCCGGTGCAGTAATATTCCATTACATTCATGCACCACGGTTTGTTCTGTAGGCATTTAGTGTGCCTACCCTCCCATAACCCTTCTGCAGGTGCCATTTTCTTTTATCATCTTTGATGGGTTTGCGGTAGGAACTGAGTTTTCAAGCCTCACATCTCCCTGGAAGTCTTCTGTTATGAATCAAACCCATGCTATCGTTGTCCAAAACTGCTGTAATACTCATTTCTGTACTACTTATTTGGATACTTAATTCTGTCCTATTAAAATATTTCATATCTCTGCTTTTTATATCCAGCTCTATTCTACATCATTAACCTCTTGAGGTAACAACTGTGTTTTTGTAATTATGCCCCTCTACGGTGCTAGCTGCTCAATTTTTGTGGTCAATTTAGTACCTTTCCTTTTGGAACCTACAGTTAAATTTGGATAAAGTGTTACTATTCCTAAATAATTTGTGATGTTGCATTGATATAATTTCTTCCATAAATATCATAAATACCAGTAGACCTTAAAGTGTTAGCTAATTGTTAATTCCTTCTTTTCTCTTTCTCCCTTTTAAAATAGCTTCTGCGTCATGGTGTCGGACTGTCAACAGGTTCTGACAGTGAAATGATCACCCAGTTGCTGGCATACACACCTCCACATGAAAGAGATGATAGCCCTGACTGGGTAGCAAGGTATTTTGTAAAAGTAAAATGGATCGACAGGACTAAAAAAACATTGCTTTGAGCTATATCTGTTATCAAAACCTGTTTATTTCTATAAGTAGATATCTATATATATGATAGGTATAAATTTATAACATAAGTAAATTGGTATAGGCATAATTTAAATTTCTCATTTCAGGATTAAAAATTTAATGAAGGAAGCCCCTACATCATACTCATTACTTATTATGCACAGAGATGTCATTTATGCAGTAAGAGATCCTTATGGAAATCGTCCTCTGTGTATTGGACGTCTTATTCCTGTATCTGATATAAATGGAAGAGGTAAAAATCTGTGGAATAAAGAGAAATTATCTAAAATTGAAAAAAAGAAATCCAGAGCAGTTACTTTGAAGTGCCAAAAGGTAAAGCATGCTACTTTTATCTGCCAAGGGACGAGTTTGATAGTAGCTTCTACCCTTGTGACCTCCTGTCACTAGTCTGTGGATTTGTTCCTTTTCTTTACTCATCTGCCACTTCAGATTAGAAATGCAAAACTAAATCTTCAGCTGATATACAGCATTTTCCCAGTTCTGAAATATCACTTGATTATTTTCTTTTTTCTATTGGAAAATATTAATTCTAGCAAATCATAGTATTAGAAGGGAACTCAGGGAATCATTTAATTTTTCATCTGTCCCAAACCATGTAAGAACCTATATAGACCTTGAATTAACGGAAATGGAAACCATACTCCTTGTATGGTTTGTTCATTGATTTACCAGCCTGAATTTTTAAATGTAATTTTGTTAGACTTAACTAGATTAATCTTTTACCTTTTATAGGAAGAAATAATTCTGAAACTGAAGGATGGGTGGTATCATCTGAATCCTGCAGTTTTTTATCTATTGGTGCAGTGTAAGTCCTTTATAATGTATTAAGAGTTAATATCTTCAGTGATAATTGAATTGCTAATGAGAACTTTAGGGATCATAGATATATGCTTGGAAAGGCCATAAAGGTCATAATTCAAACCCCTCATTTTACAGGTGAGCACACTGAGGCTCAGAAGGGGTTAAGTAATTTGCTCAAGGTCACAGAGAGGTAGTAAATGGCAGAGGCAGTTTTTGAACACACGTCTTTTGAGTCCAAATCCAGTCCAGTGTGTGTATTGGGGGGGGGGAGTTGGGGGGAGGGGCAATAGGTGTTAAGTGACTTGCCCAGGGTTACACAGCTACTAGGTGTCTGAAGTCACATTTGAACTTACATCTCCCTGACTCCAAGTATGGAGCTCTATCCACTGCGCCACCTAGCTGCCCCTCCAGTCCACTTTTTATTGCCTCTTGCTGTTTAGTATCTGATTTTAAAAATATTTATAGGAATATTTGTAGGAAAATATTTAATGTGGTAAAACATTCCTAATTCCCAATAGCAGGTTCTTTTTAAAATAGACTTTCGATGTGTTAAGAAAAGCCTCATTAATAAGTTAAGAATACTTGCAAATGATTATTTGGCATGACCTTCCTTTTGGTGGCCCATTTTAATAAATAGCTTTAGTCTTTGCATTGCCATTGTTTTCTTTTGAATTACTCAATTAACAAACATTTATTAAACATACAACATAGGCCAGACACCGTGGGAGGCCCCAGGGATTACAACTACAATGCTCTCACTGAGCTTACATTCTAATGGGGGGAACATAAATATACATGGCATAAATAGAAAGAAAATAAATACATACGTTTTTGCATGCAGAGTAGTTAAATACAACTTAATATAGGTACTATTATACTTTGGTACTACTCATAATACTATCCTGTTGTAGATATGTTATAAATTTTCAGAGTAGTGAATATTGGTTTTTAGGACTCTCATTTTTAAAGAAAAATTTTACTTATGTTGTTTTCCCCTCCCCAAGGTATTATCGTGAAATTTTGCCAGGAGAAATTGTGAAAATATCCAGGCATAATGTTCAGACTCTTGATACTGTACCAAGATCTGGAGGAGATCCAGTGGCTTTCTGTATCTTTGAATATGTTTATTTTGCAAGACCGGATAGTATATTTGAAGGCAAGAAACATTATGCTTTCGTTATTAATTTAGATTACATAGCTGTCTTATTAGATGTCTCCTTACCCTTTTCAGAAGAATTTGTCTAAATCTTCAGCTAAGTTTATTGTCTCATCTTCTCTTGCCTGCTTAATCTTGAGTCTATTACCTCACTGCCAGGAGGTAGTTAGCATTCATCATCTGTCTTATGTAATTGTTGCTGATCGTTGCCATTGATAAGAATTCTTAAGTTTTATAAAGTCGTTTTCCTTATAATTTTGTTTTTACTGTATAAATTATGTGTTCTTATTTCACTCTAAAGTTTTACAAGTTTTTCTAAGTGTTTTTGAAAATGTCCCTTTAATAATTTCTTAAGGTACAGTAATATTCCATTGCATTGATAATTTGTTCAGCCATTCCCCAGTTAATGGTCACTGTGCTGGTTTCCCTTTCTTTGCCACTACAAAAACAGCTGCTATAAATACTTTGGTACGAATGAGTCCTTTTCATCTTTTTTTAATCTCTTTGGGGTTTAGGCCTAGTAGTGGTATTGCTGGGTCAGAGAACAGTTTGGTGACTTTTGGTGCATCGTTTCAAATTGATTTCCAGAATGGCTATGGCAGTTGCCATTGTTAGGATTCGAAAGTCACTTCAGCCTCTGTGCCTCTCCGTGGGCATCTCTGCAACCCCTAGTGGAGTTCTAAAGGCCATGTAGCTTGATTTTCCATAAAAGAACCAAAGCTCTCTGGTCTGAAGCATACAAGTTAAAATTACCACAGCTCCTCTTTGTGATCTTTCCCTTTAATTAAATTTTTAGATTTATTTTCCTTGATAAGGGTTATGGATCTACCCTTCTCATTGTGGTAGCCTTCTCAAGATGTGGTAGATCTGTTTTTCTCTTGGCTTTAATAACACTTTGTAATGAATGATGTCCAGCATCAATATTAAATGACATGAAGTGTTAATGGTCAGAATAATTCTCTTTTAATCATACCAGGTCAGATGGTATATACAGTTAGACATCGTTGCGGTCAGCAGCTGGCAATTGAAGCGCCTGTGGATGCAGACTTGGTTAGCACTGTTCCTGAATCAGCCACACCGGCAGCCCTTGGTTATGCAGGAAAGGTATTTTTTTCTTAGGTTTTTTTATCCAATTGGTGACTCTAATGGCAATTACATAAAAGAACCTACTGATGCTTTATTTTAGGAATAGTTAAGGAAGGAAAGGTTTATGAGGGTGTGACCTAATACTAGTCATTACCTTCTTTAGGAGATTCTAAAATATTTTCAGTCCAGAAGTAATTATAAACTTCCCAAGCTTACTTTTAGATTGCCATGTTTTAAAGAGATACTGTCTTCATGTAAATGTTTCAAATGCACAAATCTGTGAGTTATAGCTAACACATTGGATGCCAGAGGCAGGGTTCAAGAGGATTTTGACAGGTTAGAATATTGTGTTGAATATCATAATATGATATTCCATGGGGAATAAATGTAAAACCTAATTGGATATAAGAATCAACTCCATAAGTACAAGATGGGGGAGGAATTGTGATAAAGATTTGGTGGTTTTAGTGGATTTCAAAACTTAACATGTAGTGTGTTGTGGCAGTCAGAAAAGCTAATATGTTTTTCAGCTGCGTTGCAAGAGGCATAGTTTCTAGGATTTAGGGAGATGATGTCTCACTCTACTCTGAACAGACCTCACTTGGAGTATTAGGATATTAAGTTATGGTCACCATAGTTTGAGAAGGATGTTAATCAGCTCAAGAGTGTCCACAGGTGAATTACCAGCACGATGAATAGCACTGAGTCCTTGTCATATCTGAATCAGTTGAAGGAACTGAGAATATTTCACCTAGACAAGAGAAGATTCAGGGGGTTTGTGATAGTTGTATTTAAGTATATGAAGGGCTGTCATGTTAAGGAGAGATTAGATTTGTTCTGTTTGGTTCCAGAGTTGTGAAATGGGAGAGAGAGAAAAGAACAGACATTTATTGAGAGCATATGGATTGCTAATAAGTGCTTTACAGATACTTCATTTGATCCTCACAGTAGCTCTGGGAAGCAAGTGTTATTATCATCTTCATTTCATATTTGAAGAAACTGAGGGAGACAGATTAAGTGGTCAGGGGTCACACAGCTAGTATCTGAAGCCATATTTGAATTTGAGTCTTACTGTCTACAGGCCCAGAACTCTTATATTCTAGGCCTCCTGGCTAGCTGCCTAGATGGCAGAACCAGGAGTAATGGGTATGAGCTGAGAGGAGGCCAACTTAGACATAACATCAGGAAAACTCAAAGTAAACTTGTCAAATCTCCACTTCTTATACAAAATGCCATCATAGTAATTAATAAAATTTCCTTTTTACAATTTTTTGGTGAGGCAATCGGGGTTAAGTGACTTGCCCAGGATCACACAGCTAGTAAATGTCAAATGTATGCCGAATTTGAACTTGGCTCCTCCTGACTTCAAGGTCGGAGCTCTATCCGCTGCACCACCTAGCTGCCCCAATAAAATTCTTTTTTCACATGGTTGATCTTTTAGTTAATCCTTCCTTCTTATTATCTAATTTAAAGTTTTTGGGGGTGTGCCAAAACTTCATAAGTTATTCTAAAACAAAAAAAATTTTTTTTGTATGCTATAAACCTGTTTTCTCATTTTATATTGAAGCTCTGTTAATATATGAATCATTTTAGTAACATTACTTGTGTATCTGGTCCATTATGTCTTTTTTTTTTTCCTCTTCTTTCACAGTGTGGTCTTCCATATGTAGAAGTACTTTGTAAAAATCGATATGTAGGTAGAACCTTCATTCAGCCAAATATGAGATTAAGGCAGCTAGGTGTGGCAAAAAAATTTGGAGTCCTTTCTGATAATTTTAAAGGCAAACGGATTGTTCTGATAGATGATTCCATTGTAAGAGGCAATACCATTTCACCCATAATTAAGTTGCTCAAAGAATCTGGAGCAAAAGAGGTAAGAAATTTTTCATTTTATTGATGGGATGTATAAAGAAGTTAGTAATAGAAAGACATTTAAATTATTTTATTTTTTGAAAAGATCAGTTGAAGCTTTAATAAAAACAATAGCTTATGAAGAACAAGGATACCATGAAGACCAGATCAGATGGCTAGCAGAAAAGAATCTTTAAGAGGAGCTGTGAGAAATTCACAGCAGATGGGGGAGGGTCTGCTCAGGGCCTCTAGAAAGAAAGTTCCATTTATTCTTGATAGGGCATCAAATGATAAACTTTTTTGGGAGAATTTCTTTTTAATGACCATTTTCCATTAAGACAGAACCAGAGGAAAAAGGTGAAGGCAAGAGATTTGTTAAACATAAAGATTAAGGTTCTTCTCTGGAGGTCTTTAAAACAGGAAAATTTGAAGGTTCCCTATTGTGGGGTGAATGAGGTGCCATTGATTTAATGCAAAAAAAATTGAAGTTTTCTCGATAGGTCTCAAACAGTTATTCTTAAAGTTTGGGACAATAATTTTGTATGATGTTACCTTATCTCAATAACCAGAATTTTACCTTCCTAAAATATTTCCTTGTCAAGGTTCATATTCGAGTAGCTTCACCACCAATAAGATTCCCATGCTACATGGGAATAAATATTCCTACAAAAGAAGAGCTTATTGCTAATAGACCTGAATTTGATGATCTTGCAAAATACATAGGTGGGTGATAAATTTAAATTTTATTTTTAATTATCACTAATAAAAATATTAGTTTGCATTTACATCATTCTTCATAGTTAAAAAACGTCTTTCACAGATCTTTGATTTCCTTAAAATCTGACAGACTTAAATATTGCAAATATTAACCTCAGTATGCACATGGTAACCCTAAAAATTCAGAGTTGTGACTTTGTCTAAGGTTGTTACATCACTAATTCGATTAAAGCAGGAACCTTGTTTGTTTCTCTTTCTACTGTAAACGCTGTAATTTAAAGACCACACAGCTGTAACATAGGCATTTTTCCTGAAGAATATTGTTCATCATTTGTCTAAAACAGTAGTTTAAATTACTTGTATTTTTGTAAATGTTTCTGGAGATTCCATTGTTTTTTTACAAACAATTGGTCAGACAAAAACAGAATCATTATGACCTTATTACTCAAAACGACAGTACTAAGTATTTAACAGTCTCTTTAATTATATAGATGCTATATGCCATTTGGTGCGAATATGTTAAATATTGATTATTGATATTGACTCATTATGGTACCTTTCAGCATGATGTAGTTTCTTCTCTTTTAATCAAATCAGTTTTTTCTATTGCTTTGTCTTACTATTTCTTCAAGTTTAGCTGAAGCATAATAGATTTTACTCTATTCCTGCATTTTAACACTGACTTTTATGTTTCAAATATGTTTCTTGTAAATAACATTGTTAGATTCTACTTGTTAATTGTATGTTTCCCTCCATCCTATACTTGTTCCTTTCTTTAGGAACAGGTTGCTCCCCATCTCTTTACGCAGAAGGTGAAATAGGAGTGTGCTCAACACTAATATTCCATCCTTGATGTAGTCATCTTCTGCTCCACTGCCTTCTCTTCCTCTCACCTAGATCCTAGCCAGAGGTTTTTACCTTTTAAAACCCTTCTTCATGATCTGTTCTTCAAAAGCAGTTTGTTTTGCTTGTGACTAATCCTTCTTTGAATCTGTCCTTCTCCTTATTCTCTTTCTCCCCATTCCCTCTGTTTCCCTGTTAATTTCCATATATTTCTATGCAAAACTTTGTGTGTGTTGTATCCTCCTTTGAATAGTTCAGATGAAAGTAAAATTCAAGTGATGCTTGTTCTTTCCCACCTCTCTTCTGAACTTCCTTATTTACATTAATAGAACCACTATTCTTCTGTTCTCCCAGGTAAGATTGAAATCCCATCATTAGACTCTTCCTTTGCCTCACCCATCATATGCAGTTAGTGGTGAAATCTTGTTTCTATCCCTGTTTTCACCTTTAGCATCTAACTCTTTCTCTTTACTCATCATAGCTACCATTTTGGTTCAAGCCTTTATCACTTCTCACCTGGACAGTTGTACTGGTTTCCGAATTCTCTCTTCACATCTATCCTCCATATGGCTGCCAAAGTAATTTTCCTTAATCACAGTTTTAATCATACCATTCCCATAATCAGTTATAGTGCCTTGATAATGTGTCTAGGATAAATATAGTCTTATGTTTTAAGCCTTTTACAACCTGGCCTCAACCTATCTTTCCAGCCTTGTAATTATACATTACTGTCTTTTCCTGGACTCTAGGATCCAGCCAGATTTATCTTTTGTTTGTTTCTTGCACTGCATTTTCCATTTCTGTATCTTTGCAAAAGCCATTTTTTGTGCTGGAATGTCTTTTCTCATCAACTCCTACTCAGAGTCCCTCTGTAAAGTGGGGTAATGATAGCACCTATATCCTAGGATTGTTTTGAGGGTATAACAAAATATTGGTGAAGTGCATTGCAAACCTTAAAGCAAAGTAAATACTAGCTGTTATTGTTGGAGCTTAATATATGCTTATTGATTAACATCAACAAAACAAAGCACACAAGGAGTACAGAATTGGTAGTAGTAACTACTTCAGGAAACTGAGTGAAGGACATGTAAAGGTTGGTGTATTCTCTATATGGAATTTGAACCATTTGAAAATAAGCCAGACCATTTAGAAATTGGCCTATATAAGCCTCCTCAATGCAGAGTCTGTTTTGATTAAAAAAAAAAGACAATTCAAGTTAATTAAAATGTTCTTACTAAATTAAAATTGTAACATAGGGTCTGGCTTTTAAAATTAAACTTTTTTTGGGGGGGGTTGCCCATTTAATCATCATCGTTTTGATAACATCAGCCAGATTTACACAACAGCCAGACTCCTTCCTCATCATAGACTTTACCCTGGGGTTTGGCCTCATTTGGGTTTCTGAGATGTTACAAACTCACAACCTGTGCTCGCGAAGCACAGAGTCTCAGGGAGGGAAGGGCAATAGGACTGCTGGGTTTTAGGCCATTTTTTTTTTCAGAGCTTGGGGGTTCGGAGGGGAAGGGAAGAGGTTGAATTGGGGAGGGGTTCCAAGGCATTGTTCTGGGGACAAGAGAGAGTGTGATTAAAGTGAGCTCAGTAAAATAAGACCTACAAAGGGGAAGGGAGGGATGAGGAGTGTGCATCACCTACTAACTTTCTGTTTTAAACCTGAAGAGAAACTGAAGATTTGGAATAGATTTGGGCAAGAAAAGAACACACCATCCTTTAAGGTAGATTGAAGCAGTGATTTTTAAAACAAAGAAATCAGAACTAGAACATCTTAAACTTTTAATCCTTTCTTTACAGGTTTACCTAGACCACTTTTGATTAAGAAAACTGTAGAAAGTTAGTAATTGCCACAAGTTAATGCCAGGAGGTAGCCCCTGTCAATTTCCCAAAAAGTCCTAGTTGCGGGGTGTTGGAAATGCACTGCTCTGGGTCTCCACTTGCCCTGGTTGGAAACAATCATGGAAGATTTAGTCCACGGGTCGCTTTTCCCCATATTTCTTTGTAAGCTCTTCAGTGTTTATGGTCCTTAGAGTATTTTTTATGGTCCTTAAAGTACTCTTCAGCTGGGTCAGCCCGAAGGGGGTGCTCAGGCTGGGGGTCATTCACTGGTGCTATGAGGAACAGGATGACTTGGTCAGTTTTGGTTGCTGGCTTCCAGTTTTCAGCACTAATTACTGGCAGACAGACCTACCCTTTTTCATCGATGTTCAGGTGGTAAATCTTTGTTTTAAAAGTGATCTTAGGTGGTTTGAATGGATACTCTGCTGGGAAGTTGATTTCGATTCTGAAGGCTCCGTTGTCATATGGAGGGTTGTCAGGGACGATGAGCCCTTGCCAAGTCAATAAATTAGCTTCATCAACCTGAATGTTGCGGAAGTTTTTCATCGCACACTTGTGGATTTCTTCCAGCTCCTCCATCAGCCTCCTGCTGGCCACCATCTTAGGTCTGGTGCTGCTGCTGTCCCACAATGCATTGTGGCCGCTAGGTGGCTTGAGCCCCTGCCAAAATTAAACTTTAATCTATATTCATGTGAGGACTACAGTAGCTAATGAATGACTTGAACTGTGCATATGTAAATAAAAGTCTACCACCATTATTTGTAAATCTTCATACTGTCAGCTGCTGCTTCTTAATCTGTCCTGTGTTCAGTTTTGCTCTGGTTGACCCCTTTTCATAGCTATTTTGTCTGTAACTGTGAATGTTTCATGAAGTCTTCTTAATAATTACTTATGGACATCTTGCTTGTGGTTACATAATTTTTGCTGATATAACATTGTCACTCATTCTCAGCCTATAGGAAAAATAATTGTTACCAGCTTTGAATATCTTTAGGATTAAATTATTATGTTATAACTTAATTTAGTATTACACATTATATTGCACATAAGCTTTGAGTATTTTTGGTGGAATGTCCATTTTGGTAGCAGCCTACTCTTGCTATTTAATGTGAAATAATAGTCTCAGATGTTTGAGCATTTTAATATATTAGTTAGCTTTAATAGAATTTCCTTATATCTGTACTGGTTGGACAGTACCATGGTGTTATAGCTATCGATGCCACTTTGACTTGAGCTGGACATTTATATTTCTAGTTTTCTGTTGATATGCTAGTTTACTTGATTTATTTTTCTCTAATCTTGTTAGATCGGTGACTCATTAAATGGTGTGTTGCCTATGTAGAGACTGTGGGGTTTGGGGTCTGTTGCAGCATGTCTCTCAGGTGCACTAAATCACAGTAATACCAGCTTCACAAATCTCTGTTATTGGCTTATCTCATTAATGTTCTCCTGGTTCAAAGGCAGTCTGTGTGATACACTCTACAATAATTTCTGAAAATTTCTCTATTGGTATAGTGACTCCTGTTACTTCCTTCCTTGTCCTCAGGATGATGCAGTCTCTTCTCCCACTGACTAGCTTCTCTAGAGACTTGAACTATGGTCTTTGTTTATCAGGAGTATCAAATTAATGTGAAATGCAAGTGTACATTTTGTCTAGTTATAGAAATTTGGGATGGACTTTGCAGCTGGAGCAACACTTCTGCTCTGGGGAGACAGAAAAGGAAAGGCGTCTGGGTTTGATTCCTACCAGGTGCCACGACTGGTGACGTAGCTTGGTCTCAGCTCCAGGCCATTCTTTACCACTTTCTGGGGTGCATGCTCATTTGCCTGTAGCCTACTCTTGCTTCTCTGCTGTTTCCTCACGATAACTACAAATAAAAAACTCTTCCTCAAGGCCACTGGAACCCTAAAACAACCTGAGCTCCCTGGAATCCAAACTATCTGTTCTAGCCCAAATCCTTTCTTGAGAGTCTGACCCCTGAGAGTTCTCTGTTGTCCCGGGAAGGTATTTCTGAACCTTTCTTGGTGTGAACAATCTGAGACTGCACCTAGCTGATAGAATTTAGTGATAACTTTCTTGTATATTACAAGAGAACCTAATGTGGAGCTGTTTTGTTTTTTAAATTGTGGAGTGGGTGAGAATTTAAAGTTATGTATCTTAATGGAACTTAAAAAAATGTATCAGAGGTCAAGGTGCTGAGTTCAGTTTCCAAAACTGGAACACCTGAATTTTGCTCCCTAATATAATCCTATGTAAAGCACCACAGTTGCATTCCGTATTTCCCACTGCCTGTTGGACATTTCAATTTATTTTATTTTTATTAATTTATTTTGATTTATCAACGATCACTTCCATAAGCTTTTGAGTTTCAAATTTTTCCCCCCCTTCCAAGACAGCGCACAATCTATAGGCCATACATATATATTCCTGTTAAACATATATTCATATTAGTGATGTTGTAAGGAAAAATTAGAATAGGAGGAATCACCAGAAGGAGGAAACAAAACACAACAGAAGGAAAAAAAATAGCAAATAATACTATGCTTCGATCTGCATTCAAACTCCATAGTTCTTTCTTTGGATGTGGATAGCATTTTCCATCATGAGGCTTTTGGAGATGTCTTAGATCCTTGTATTGCTGAGAGGGGTTAAGTCTATCAAAGTCGGTCATCACTCAGTGTGGCTGTTACTGTGCTCACTTCACTCAGCATCAAACCATACAAGTCTTCCCAGGTTTATCTGAAGTCTGCCTGTTCATCATTTCGTATAGCACAGTAGTGTTCCATTACATTCATATATCACATTCACAATTATGATTACTGTGTGTTTCTCTCCATCTTTCTCCCCCCCCCCGTTTTATGCTTTTCTTTCTCCTTTTCCTTCCTCACTAATGTTTTGCTTTTGACCACCGCCTCCCTCAGTCCCATCTCCCTTCTATTAGCCCCCTCCCTTTTCTTTCCCCTTTTCCCTCCTGCTGCCTGTAGGGCATGTTCAATTTCTATGCCTAACTGATTATGTTATTCCCTTCTTGAGCCAAATCTGATGAGAGTAAGGTTCAGATAATGCTCATGTATCTCCCTTGTTTCCCTCTGTTGTAATAGATTTTTGTGCTTTTTCCTGTGATGTTCTGGGGTGATATTTTCTGGGCTTTCAGGGGTTAATAAGGGAGGGTAAGAGAGACTTACCTCCTACTCCTGGAAGTGGAAGTCCCCTGTTGGACATTTCAACCTTGACTTCAAACCCAGCACTTCAAATTCAACATGTCTAAGATCAAACTTATTTTGTCTACTCCTCCGTTTCCTGTTTCTCTTAAGAATATCACCATTCTCAGTTCCCCAGGCTCATTACTTCAGTCATTCTGGACACTTTGCTTCTGTTTTATAACTCCCTCCTTCTTCCCTCCCCATGTCCCATAAATACTTGTTTCTGAAATTCTCTCAATATAACCATCTTGTGGATCTGTTCCATTTTCCTTGCTTGGACTATTGTAACTCCTGCATAGTCTACTTAGTATCTCTCCCAATCCATTCTTTATACATGGTTACCAAAATAATGACCCTGAAACATAGATAAGACCACGGCACTCCCTTGCTCAAAAGGCATCATCAGTAGGTCTCCTCCTTCTAAGAGAAAGTACAAACTTCTCCCTTGTGTTGGTTTTTAGGAACATCCATAGTTTAGCTCTTATATATGTTTATAGCCTTATTTAAAACATTCTTTTCACATTCTCTGTGTTTTGGCCAATCAGCAGCTTTCCCCAAAACTCAGTATGCTGTCTTCTTTGTGCATTCACAATCCACTTCCCTGGAATGTACTGCTGTCTTCATTGCTACCTATTTGTGTTAATCTCTTGAAGTTGTCTATATTCATTCTAGACTAAATCAAGTTTCTTTGGCCTTAGGGAAGCTATTACCCAGTAATTTGTGATTTAGAACATTTGTGGAAAGTGTAAGAGCCAATAGGTTTTTTGTCCTGCTTTGTGCTTTTTTTTTTTAATACTTTTTTTTTCCTTTTCCCAAGGGGCTAACAGTGTTGTATATCTGTCCGTGGAAGGTTTAATATCATCTGTGCAAGAAGGGATGAAATTGAAGAAGCAGAAAATAGAGGAGCAGGAAAATATAATTCAAGAAAATGGAAATGGTCTGAAATACTTTGAAAGGGATGGGCATTGTACAGCATGTCTCACTGGAGACTATCCTGTAAAGTTGGAATGGTGAATGTGCCATGGGATGGTGGGTGGGAAGAGGGAATTATATTTTATATGTGATATAAAATTGAACTTAAATCAAAAATTATGAATCAAGTTATGCCTTATGAGTGATTGTTACTAAAAGTATTCTTTAACACTTCAAATCCTGTGACATGCTTTTATTTGCCTTTGTAATTTTGTTGTTTATTTGGTTTTTTATAAGATGTGAAAACCAAAGTGTTTTTATTTTCCGAATTTCCTAGCTTAAACTACTCGAGTAATATTATCTAGGAATGTTGGGTATTGCTTTCAGCTTTATTAAATAGCTCAATAAAACTCTTAGGGCACTGTTAATAGTTAATGGGATTATGCACATTTTATTTCAAACCATTAAATGGGAACACTGAGGACAAAATTTAAGTTTGTGCTATGAGGGGATTTCAGTTACCATACTTGCCCAAAAAATTCTCATGGAATTTTAAACTATTTTTATTTAAGGAATAAATTACCTCATTTTATTTCAGAATGCTTTCATAATTGAACTTTCTTCAAAATCAGTGGCTTAGCATAGCATTATGGGAGGGGGGAGTCCTTTTTCATATGCTGCATTGGTATATGTACTATATACCAATTTCACTGTATTAGAAGGTAGGTGACTTGAGTAATTGGTCATAACTTCAAGAACATCCCTCAAAAGATTAGATTGAAGGGTCCATGGTGACTTGTACAATAGAGACATTCTGTATGGAAAATGGGGAACTGTAGATTATAATTTGTTTATTCGTAATATCCCCAAATTTTTCTACCACTGAAAAATAAAATAATAGTCTAGCCCAGGGGTTTGTAACATGGGATCCATGTAGTTAAAATTTTTTTAATAACTGTCTTCACTTATAATTGGTTTCTTTAGTAAACTTATTTTATTTTTTAAAAAGTGATTTGAAAAATTGCTTGCCTTCTCAAGGGGGTTGGGGATGGAAGAGAAAGAATTTGGAACTCAAAAATTTTTTTTAAAATGTTTAGAAAAAATTTTGTTTACGTATAATTGAAAAAAAAATAAAAATGTTTTTTAAAAAATGTTATTTGAGAAGGGATCCATAGGCTTCACCAGACTGCCCATGGAATAATAAAGAATCTATGGACCTAGTATATAAACTAGGAACCACTTTAATTTATTGTGTTTTATTTTATATATTGACATTTTATTTGTGTTTATTTTGCAGCGTGGGTGAAGCTGAATTGTATTCATTGCTTGCTATGTCCCAGCTGTAATGTCACAAAAATGGATGTAAGAGTATGTCTTCTGGGCCCTACAGGGAAGAGGAACAGAGTTATTGGGAAACTGTTTTGGCATTACCATTTATATGTAGTTGTTTAGAACTATTTTCTGAACTAGAGGTCTGAAGTGCTCCAGCAAAAGCCCTTTGAAATGAAGTAAAATAATTTATCCCCAGCAATAGGGCTGTTTTCTACCTTTTGATTTTAGACAGCTGTGACCTATAAAATCATTATATCCTTATTGGCTAGTCTGGTAGTTGTTATGATGTTTTCAGAAATGCAGAAAGATGGAGTTAAGTAGAGTGACAGTGCAAGGCAATTATTTTTTAATTTGAAGGATCATGGGAAAATTGACATTTTTGTGCCCATGTTCACTTAGTGATGATTTAGCCACCACTTTCTACTAGTTTGTTATATTTTAAGAATATTTCTAGGCTTTTTTGGAGGAGATTTTAAAAAACAAACCTTAAAGGTTTTAACTCCGTAGCCTTTGGGGCATATATTTAAAATATATAAAAATCATTTTGGTTTCTTAGTATAACTGAATACAACATTGTATTTTATGGTGCCCAGCATATTTGAGATTATTAATTTATTATTGTCTGGTGTGTATTTATTTTATAGACACTTATATAACATCCAGGCAAAATGTAGCATCATGCAATAAATAAGTCTCGTGTGGCTTTTCCACCACCCACCTTCGTCAGTTGTTCAGCTATCCATGAGTGAAAATGACGCACAAGAAAGTTGGCAAACTTATTTGTTCTGGCTTGTCCTCATGCCCAGTAGCACAGGTGACAAGCCCCATGTACTTAGTGATCATTTTCTGTGGGCTGCCAACTGCCCTTTCCACGGTGTCAGAGGCTCTAACAGCTGTTTTCAAAGAGACCTTCTTGATAGGAATACCATTAGGACGTGAACTTTCCTGCTGTATCATGCCAAAATGATTTTTATGCATGTAGGTAGTGGGGAGCCAGGGCCTTTAAGTCAAGTGTTGTTTGTTACAGGCTTTACATTTGACTCAGGGAAAATACTAAACCAAAATCTAATTTGACATTTATGTTGTCCCGTATTTTCATTTCATTGTTAAATGTTGAAGTAGTTTTATATGTTATGATGGGGAAAAATAGTAATAAGACAGATTTTATTGTCTACATGCTTTACAGATTAAATTTTTTTCTGTCCTTTTATTTCACGATAATGAAATTTTGCTTAATTGCTTTATAAATTATGTAAATAGAATATTGTGAACTGACACAAACCTGGAAGATGTTTTCACAAGAAATATACTAGCCTTCTTATGACTTACTTGTGATCTGTCTGAATGAAAGATGTTTATACGTTATGAGATGAATTTCAGGGTGTCTTATAAGAATAATTTTTATAGTGTCCCAAGCAATATTGTTAACAGGGTTTATGTTCACTTTTCAGTTAACATCAACTGGTCAGTTAGTATAACTATTTGGGAATGTGTTCCTCTTTCATAGTTCCTACTTTTACTCAAGAGCTGATGAAAATCTGACATTCAAATGGACATAAAAATGATTAGTTAGATACATATACTGTACCAAAGATAAATAGGTACAGAAAATGATACATTATGATGGTAAGTGCAATATTATGGGAAAATAATGAAGTGTCTTGGTAACTGAATTTAATTAGGGCAAGGATTCTTTTAGCCCAAAACAAGTGACACTGATGTATCCATATTAGGACCTACCAAAATATTACCACTTTCTATGCATAAACCATTTTAGAATATTTCAAGTACACATATTCACTTTTAAAGATGTATATGTGCTTCACTTAAACCAAGAAATGTAAATATAACAATTTTTTTAGAATGTGGGGGACAGAATTTTTCCACTTAGAAAAATGACAAGATGAATCTAATTCCCTTTGATAGGGAGTCTGATTTTTATTTTGCTTAAAGTGATATGCAGTGGTGCCTACCTACAATATTTTGGAATAGAGTGGCAGGCCTGGAGTTGGGAAGGCCTGAGTTCAAATCCAGCCTCAATTATCTATTAGCTGTGTGACTCTGGGCAAGTCACTTAACCTCTGTTTGCTTCAGTTTCCTCATCTGTAAAATGGGGATAATAGCATTTTTCCTCTCCGGGTGTTTGTGAGGATTAAATGAGATCAGAATTGTAAAGTGCTAGCACAGTACCTGGCACACAGTAAGCACTATGTAAATACTGTTACTATTAGAACATTATTTTATTCCCTCTCTTCTCTTTACCCCAAGGTGTCGTTCCCCAAGTACCCTGTCAATGATTTACTGAAGAAAGCATAAGAATAAACCTCTTAAGGGCATGAATGGTTTTGCTCCTCTTTGTATCTCCAAAGCCTTATACCTAGGCAGCACTTGGTAAATGTTTGATGAATTGAAAGCAAATTTGAAGCTGGATTTAAGGCCACTATTCCAAACCAGCTACAAATAGCATAACTGCTAATAATTACATATCCCTGAGTCTAAGGAAAAGGTATATTCATGTCTTCCACTTAAAATGTTTTGACTCTTTGAAGTGGAACTGAAATATAAGACATGAATGAAAAACTCTACAGGAAAATAAAATCTAGAATGCCAACGGGAAGAAAATGGAAGCTGTCCCATGAGATGTCCAAAATTTCGTGGATAGCTTCAAAATTTAGCAAGACTTTTAAACTACTAACAATGTCATGAGACTGAAAACAATTCAGCTAATGTGGGAGAAAATAAAGACAGAAGGAAAGATGCTTGCACGGTGGTATAGCGAAAAGAGATTTAGAGTCAGAGGCCCTGATTTCAAACAGGATTTGCCATTTACTACCAGAGTAAACTTAGATGAGTTACTTTACCCCTCTGACCTCATTTTCTTCATCTGTAAAATGAGGTTGGATCAGATGGTCTTTAATGTTCCCTAAATCTACAGTGTACTCTTCTGTTAGTTTTTGTCCTTCCTTCTTCAATTAGCCAATTGTGTTTTTTAGGGACTTGTTTTCTTCAGTGTATTTTTTTTCCAACTGGCCAATTGTATTTTTGAAGGACTCTTTTACCTCTCTCATTTGACTATTAAAATCCTTCTTGAGCTCTTCTAAGAAGGCTTTTTGGGCTTCAGACCAGTTCATATTCCCTTTTGTTGTTGCAGGTGTGGGTTTGTTGACAATGTTGTCCTCTTCAGAATTTCTGTCTTGATCTTCACTCTTCTCGTAATATGAGTCCATGGTACGTTTCTTTTTACTCATGGTGTTTCCTTATTTCCTGGCCTTTAAAGAGACTGAGCTGTCCTGCTGGGGAACAGAGGGTACTGACTCAAGCTTCTTCTGTTGGGAGCCTAGGTCTTGGTCACTGGCTTTGCGTTCTGGGGCCTCTTACGCTGGGATTTGGAAGCTGTAGGTTTCTGGCAGCTTACCTTGTGTTGGGCTGGAATCAGCAAGGCTGGAACTTTCAGGCAATTCTAGGTTGCCTGCTTTTCCTTTCCTTTAGCTTTCTTCAGCTCCTTTTAGATGGCTGCTGCAGGATGTTTATCTGCCTGGGGCTCCCTGCAGTGTTGTCTCCCTCCGTTCTGCTAATGCACCGGGAGATTCCTTTGCAGTGGAGTGCTGAGGCTCCTGGTGGTTTTCTGAGCTGGTTTCCACCGGTTCCCCCGCCCTCACTGAGGCACTCGGAGGTCCAGGTGTTGGTGTTTGCCTGCTCCACCACCTGGGCTTCAGGATTTCTTCACAATTGGGGGCTTCAGGGCTCCTACAGCTCACCTGGTGTTGGGTTGGAATCAGCAAGACTGGGGCTTTAGGAAGCCTTTAGGTTGTTTTCTTCACCTCCTTTCAGATGAATGCCGCAGGGTACTCATCCGCCTTGGGCCCCTTGTTTTTACTGAGGCACTGAGAGATCCGTTTGCTGGGCTACTGCACTGCTGCTCCTTGTCTTTCTTCTAGTTCAGGTGTTCCAGGGTTTTTTTGTTTTGTTTTTTCCTGGGCTGATATTTTCTGGGTTTGCAGAGGTTGATAGGGGAGAGTGAGAGCGACTACCTTTTCACTCCGCCATCTTGGCTCCCGAAGCGGAAGTCTCAATGTTCCCTAAATCTAGAGAAAATAATGGGGGAAAGAAGTACTACAATGTGCAGACTGTAATAGACAGCCTGGGGGGGGGGAGAGAATGGAAATAATCATTACAGAGTTAATACAGAGGAAAATAACTCGTAGACAACAGTATAGATGGCATTAAAATCAAGTTCAGAAAATGACTTTTCAAGGAATTGGAAGACATTATTTCACATAAAATCCTCTTTATATATGGAAAGGCTTGTTTTACTTGGTGTTGAGTTTAGAATTTTTTAAAAAATTAAACAGCGGAGAAAAAGGAAAACACAGATTGAAATGACAGACTTGGAAGGAGTAAAGACATACCTCTGGGTTTGACCTCAGGATTGCTGATATCCTTAGAAACTGGGTGTATGTGTGTGGAATTAATTACTTCAAAAAA